TTATGAGGCACCGTCGGAGTGGCAGTGCGAGAGGTTTTTTCACTAACATTCTAATGCTGCCTTTCACCAGCGGCAAATCTTACCAAGGCCAAAAATAACCAGGCAAGCCAACAAACAAAATAAAGCCCACTGCACGTGAATATCAAATTCTATTTGTTATTGTTTATACTGAAGTCTTCAGGGAAAGATGTACTACTAATAATAGTCTACACACCCAAAAATAAGATCAATGGGTGGATCTTTCTCGATGCATGTGATAAAGTGAGTAGAGCAAAAATGGAAGTATCTAGAGATGGGTGGGCATATGGGTGTTCACTGTATAATTCTTTCAACTTGTGTGTTTGAAAATCTGCCTAGTACAATATTGGAACTTGTGAATGCTAAAGAGTAGTGTTAGTGATGAGAGGGAAGAAGTGTGATTGATACCCCAGGTACAATAACAATAAGTTAAGAAATAGCTACTGTGTTGTAAGTGTTCATGGCCTCCATGTCCCCTGTATATGCCCTCGAGTCCTTACCAATGTCGCAGAAACCTGCCAAGGCAGAATACATCCCCTTGGGAAAGGCATTCTGGCGGACAAGTAGGCAGCGGGTCCCATCTGACACCAGAGTGATCACCACAGGAGCCATCTGCGGAAAGGGGATTCAGGAAGGGACAAGTCAAGAAAGCCTTTTAATTGTACGGCTTCCTTTCCAGGACCAAGTGGTGTCCCGCCTTCAGGGATGCTTACCTGTGGGTAATAGATGATCTGACTGGAAGGGCACACACGCTTGCTGCCCGCCACATTCTTCTTGGTGGGCTGCCCACTTCTGCTGCAGAACTGATGGGCATCATGCCAACGGAGGAGAGCCTGTGCCTAGGAGTATAAAGGTAGGCCAGGTTTCTTTCGGAGACACTGTAAGGCTTCTCTATAACAGCACTGGGCCTGCTACCTTCCACAACTCAGATGGAAAATGCCATGCCCTCCCCAGCGCTTTCTATGGTTACTGTTTAAATAGGGGCCCTGGTGGAATAATAAGTTACACGTTGGGCTGCTAAGAGCAAGTTCAGCAGTTTGAAACCACCAGCTGCCCTGATGGAGAAAGGTAAAGCTTTCAACTCCAGTAAGGAGTTCCAGCCTCAGAAACCCACAGGGCCCATACTACCCTGTCCTATAGGGTCGCTATGAGTTAGAACTGACTTGATGGCCAGGAGTGAGAGCCATTAAACTTCCAGAGAGAACTATCTGAACACATTTCCCTAGCATCAGAAGTCTGAACAAAAGAGCGCCGTTTCTAGGTATCAAATTATTTAAAACACACAGAATACAAAGGTAATATAATGGACACTCATGTATTTATTACCTCATCTTAAAAAAACATTTCCAATATGGTTGAATCGCCCCACATGCTCCTTTCCTGGAAAGTTGGAAGGTGTGTGTATGTGTGTCTGTTTACAATTTTTAAAATTAAGGACTATTTTTTAAAAAAAAAGATACATTCCAGGGGTATTAACTGTATTCAAAGGTTGTGAGAACTATCTTTTTTAATCAAATTGGTCATCAAGAGTACTTTAGCAAATGAAATGCAATTTGTGAAGAAAAGTTATTAAAATAATGTGATGTGACTCTTCATAGAAAAAAATATGGTGGTGTGTTAAAAACATCTACGAGGCTGGTGTATCCTAATGGGACAGATTAGAAACTCTGCTGAGCAGGTTTGCCTTCCTGCCTGCCTTTCTTGTATGCAGTGCAAAAGCAGGAAGACTGAGCAATCCTCCTGCAGCACATGGCCTTTCTGACAAGACTACGGCAGGATAAGGCATCAACTGCCACCCATGCGTTCACCCAGTACACACACGGTCTGACTGCATCTTCTATGGAACGGAGGGATTAGAGTCTACCGTGGACAGCAAGGAGGCATCCTTCACATTCAGCTGAAAGAGAGCCTTCCTTAGCTCTGTGAAGGACCCCCTGAGCTCTGCCTCCACTTCAGGTTTCTGTAAGGCAGCTGAAAAATTAGAAAAGAGAAGGAAATGAAACAAATGCCAAGCTCTGCTTGGGGGACCTTTTGCCTTTATTCTGTGAGAAGAGTGTTTCTCAAACTCATCTAATAAGACTCAACTGGGAAAAATACAAAATACAGAGATTCCCAAGCCCCGAGCTGGAGACTCTGAAGCAGCAGACGTGGAGCGAGGCCTTGAAACCTGTTTTTAGCAAGCACCAAGCGATTCTTATGCTCAGGCCAGCTTGGGGAACATCAAAACCCCCAGATGTGTTGTTGCCATTGAGTCCGACTCACAGTGACTCTCGAGGAGAAAGTCACATTGCCCAGAGAATGTCCAAGGCTGTGATCTGTCCCGAAGCTATCTGCTACATCTCTCTCCGGCCGAGCCTGATGAATGTGCACCTTCGGGTCGGCAGCTAAGCCAACCGCTAACCACTGTGCACCACAGCTCCTCATGTAAGACATACACACTGGATAAAGGTGTGCTGGAGGAATCAGCCCACAACTCATGGCAACTGTGACAGGTTTGTGTCCCTCCAAAATAGGTCCTAGATCCTAATCCTTGTCTGTGGTCACAACCCCATCTAGGAAGGGGTTGTCCTGGTTATAGAAGCCCTGGTGGTATGGTGGGCTGCCAACTCTACCGCCAGCAGTTCGAAATCACCAGCTGCTCCTTGGGAGGAAGAGGAAGCTTTCTGCCCTCATCAAGATTCATAGCCTAAGCAAAATAATAATTTATCAATTATCAAGGGTTCATGAACGAGGGAGGGGGCAGGGAGAGAGGGGAAAAAAGGAGGAGCTGATACCAAGGGCTCAAGTAAAAGGCAAATGTTTTGAGAATGATGATGGCAATAAATGTTCAAATGTGCTGGACACAATGGATGGATGGATGGATTGTGATAAGAGTTATATGAGGCCCTGATAAAATGTTTGGGGAAAAAAAAAGATTTACAGCCTAAGATGTAGTTAGGGGAAAATGTAACACCTTATCATTTGATCTCCCTTTTGACCCATTTTAACCTTCTTCTCGTTTTTAATAATTTCTGCTTTCTTTTCTATTGAGTGTTTTCTCTATTTTATTTTGTTATTATTAGCTTATTTTTCCTTTTTGGTATGTTTTCTGTATATGAAACCCAGGATAGGCAAAGTCATAGAGACAGTAACTGGATTAATGGTTTCTTGGGAGTATGCCAGGGGAGGCTGGGGGAAAAAGAAAAGCTGCTAACAATGAGCACAAGAAAGATGAAAATATTCTAAAATTGATTGTGGTGATGATTGTACAACTCTTCCTGATATGACTAAAAGATTGCATTGTAAGATATGTGGATTATGTGCCCAAAAAACTGTTGAAAACGAGGGCAGCCTAGGAAACCCACAGGGGCAGGTCTTCCCTGTGCTAGGGGGTGGGGTGGGGGGGTCACCATGAGCTGGAAGCCACTTGATGGCAGTTGAGTGATGGTTTTTCCTTTGTTATGGGAAGTGGCCGTATCAGTGTAGGGCATGTTCTATCACCTTGGAAATAGAAAAAGAGCAAATAAGGCATACAGAAACAAGGACATGAGATCCAAGGGGACCAAGGGACAAAGGCATTCCCCAGAGCCGACAGAGAGAGAGGGCCTTCTGCTCGAGTCTGGACCCTGGATTTGGACTTTGAGCCACCTAAATTGTGAGAAAATTCATTTCTGTGAAAGCCACCTAGCTGTGGTATCTTTGTTAGAGCATGGCTAGATAATTAAGAGGAAGTCTTGGTGGCTTAGTGGGTGACTCATTGAGTTGCTAACCCCAAGGTCAATGGTTCAACTACCAGTGGTTCCTTGGGGGAAAGATGAGGCTATACCTGTACAGATTTACTCTCAGAAACCCGAATGGGACAGTTCTACCCAGCTATAGGGTCACTATGAATCGGAATCAATTTGAGAGTTTTGGGTCAGTAAGATATCTTAAGCTATAGGGTCGCTATGAATCGGAATCAATTTGAGAGTTTTGGGTCAGTAAGATATCTTAAGACAGTAACTATGACTGGACCATTCTGATCAATACGGTTTTCACTGGCTCATGTCTAAAGTTTATGGTCAGGCCTGTCTTTCAGATCACACATTGGGCTGCTAACTGCAAGGTCAGCAATTTGAAACCACCAGCTGCTCCATAGGAGAAAGAGGAGGCTTCCTGCTCCTGTAAAGATGTAGAGCCTGAGACATGCCAGGGGGCAGTTCTACTAGAATCAACTCAACGGCTGTTTTTTGGTTTATTTGGACGGATACTTGGTTAAACCTGTATAGCATCAGAGGGACATGGGAGCTTCCACTGGTCAGCCAATGGGGACTGTGCTTGAGGTGCCATGGCCAGGAATCAAACCTGGGTTGCCCACGTGGAAGGCGTGAATTTTACCACTGACCCATCACTGCCCCCTCACAGAGGTAGAGGGACTAATAAACATCTTTATATCTACCACTATTAAGAAAGCAAGCATTTCAATGCCCTGTGTTTTCTTTTAAATATAATCATAATAGGTGGAACTATATTTTTTAATGTTCTTACTTAAAAAAAAGGAAAAAGCTAATAACCTATGGGTATTCCTAAAACTGTTCCTTCAAGTTTTATTGTTAGGTGAAAGTCCAAAGTCTGAAAAGCACTAGGAAACGCCCATTAGGGAGAATGCTGTATACCACTTGTGGGAGAGGGGCTGCCCAGACCCAGGTCCAGAGCAAACCAGGCTTCATGTTGTTCGGAGCAGCCAATCAGTACGGAATCTTCTATTTTGTGAGCATCCTGTCCAAACTTACCCAGGAGCCTTTCCAATTCTAAAAAACAAACAAACAGAAAAGGGAGAGAGAAAAACACAGGGGTTTTACTTAGACCAAACCTCCAAAGCCAAACCTGCGGCTCCTGAATCGTTCCCCTTCCTGGAAGGTGTCTCAGAGCAGGACTGGGCGCCGCAGGTTGTCAGTGGTTGCTTTGGAGGAATTAGATTCGCCAAGGGTTATTCTGAGGAACCTACAGGGTCACTAAGGGTCAGAATGCATGCAATGGCAGTGAGCCTCTGGGCGCAACTTGTATCGGGAACCTTCTGGTTAGTAGCCAAGCATGTTAACCATGTGTACCACCCAGGGGCTTCTCAGTTAAATCATCTCAGTCATGTTAGACACATGGGAAGTAATTTACTTCAGCAAAATGTCTATCTATCTGGCTTCTAGTCATTGTCCTGCCGCCAGTTCATGATATGGCCTCAGTCTAATCATGCCCTTCTCTAGGCTTCCGTGCCTGGTCAGCAGCTGAGGAGTGGACACTCAAAAAGGACTCCCTTCCAGACAGAGACCTGGAATGCAGCACCCTGAGCGTATCCCATAGGGACGAGACAGACCCGGATTCGTAAGAGACGGGAGTTGCATTTGTAGAGCACTGAGAAACTGGTTTAAAGTGATCCAGCACCCTTCAGTTCTACAGTTCAGCCTGCAGAGTATGTGGCTTCTGTGGGTCAGAGGGGAATGCTCAGCTGAGACCCTAGTCTGGACAAAACAATGCTGTGAAGGGAGTATCTGTCTTCCCAGGCAGAAGGGACTTACATGATGGGCTTCAAAGAGTTTGTAGAAAAAGTGAATGAAAAAAATGGAACTTTCCCAGAAAACTTTTGAAGCCCCGTTTTAGTTATTTGTTTAGGAAACAATATAACATTATGTGAGAGATCTCAAGATAATGTTTGGAGCCTTCTGATGGAATCCTCATATTCTCTGCACAGCCAGAAACTACCTATTCAAGACTGACATCTGACCATGGGAAATACAGTGGCAATGTATTTAAAGTTAAACAGAGTTCTCAAAAAATTAATTTATGGTAGAGATATACAAATTAGCTGTTTAATTCTTATCAAAGGACACTTACAGTCAATTAAGAAAAGAAAAATACTGAACAGTTGGTAACCACAATTGAGGCAAGAGAAATAGAAAAGTACATATGGACTTCCATCACTTTTCCTACTAAGTGTGGCTTTGTTCCAAGAAAAATGTATTTACACAAATAGGCATTGGGCCTGATTTGGACAGCAGTTTTGCTGAGCCCTGGTCTACAGCATTTGTGGTTAATATCACCACCCAAACAATATCTAGCTAGGCAATTCATGTTCATACACTAAATTATTATTATTATTATTATTTTAAACATTTTATTAGGGGCTCATACAACTGTTATCGCAATCCATACACACATCAATTGTGTAAAGTGTATTCGTACATCATTCTCAAAACATTTTCTCTCCACTTAAACCCCCGACATTAGGTCCTCATACACTAAATTATTAACTGGCAGAAACAGTACACAAGCTTGAGATAGAGAAGCTGTTAGAAAAATCTAGACATTAAAGCTCAAAGATTGTTTTAAGAGCTTCAAGATACACTGAATTGTGGCAACAGGCTAGTTTACTGGTTCCCTTGGGCTTACCTAATAGACTATATTGGGGGGCCAGGTAAGGCTGCTGCTGCTGCTCTGCTTTCTGAAGCAAAGGAACCAGGTTATGAAAGAGGTAAAATGCTCCCGTGCGCTGGGCTTTTTTACATGCATCATCATCTTCCTTCAGTTCAAACATAAACCTGCATTTGGGAAATAAAGTGTTATAAAACCACACTCCGCTTGTTGTGCGGCATTCATCTTTGGGAATGCTGCTCCCATGCCCCTCTTCTCCCGTGGCTACTTCAATATTTCATTTACATCCTAACTTGCCCCGGAAGTGATGGAGATGGCTGCAACATTCCCTCCTTGGCCCTCACTGCAGACCTTGCTCAGCCGTCTGTGGCCGCATGCGGGTTATACTATGTGCTAAGTTGTCTCTCTCCCCTGCAAGACTGGTGATGGTTGTTAGTTACGGACAAGTCAACTCTGATTGATGGCAGCTTTATGTATACCAGAGCAACATGCTGCCCGATCCCGCATCATCTTCCTGGCCATGGGCATTGTATAGTGTCTTCCAGCCTAAGTGCTCATTTTCCGGCACTATACCAAACAATACAGAGGTTTTCATTAGCTACTTTTCAGAGACCCAGTGGCACCCGATGACACCGTCTTCCTCAATGGGCTGCTAACTGCAAGGGCAACAGTTCAAACCCGCCAGCCATTCTACGAGACAGAGCCGTCTGCTCTCATGAAGATTCAGTCTCAGGACGCCTATGGAGGGTGTCTCTGAGTCAGAGTACACTGGATGGCAGTGGTTCATTTTCAGAAGTAGACTGCCACGCCTTTCTTCTTCGTCTGTTGTAGTCAATCAATCCCCCTGAAACCTGTCCACCAGGGTGAGCCTGCTGATATTTGAAATACCAGCGGCATTGTTTCCAGCATCACAGCAATACACAAAGTACACAACTGACAGACGGGGGTGGCCTAAGAGACTATGAGCTCTGTACGGGCAGGGTCTCCCTCGCTCAGCTTTGTTTCCTAGTAATTAGCACAGTGAATGGCTCAACTCAATCAATATTTACTGAGTTGACCTTTAAGAGCCATAAATATTTACTGAGTTGGATCAAGGTACTGTGCCAGTATTAGCCAGTGAGGTAAGAATTGACGTCTGGTTGCGGGAAAGGCAGAGAAGCACCGGGGGAAAAGCAGCACCCAGGGAAGGTCTGGAGAGGCTCGCAGCCTTGGTCGCTGCAGACAAGGAACAAGCACTAGACTCTCAGGACATCTCATTCCATACAGAAGGTAAAGGTCAGATTTTCCCTTGAACACACGTTTGTTTCTAACATGGAGCTTCAAAAATTGGGATCGACCTTCAAACTCCTTATCTCTGCTGACGGTCTCATCGATAGACGGGAAAGTGACGCCTACATTTGATCGGTTTACTATTTTCAGTAGCCCAAATAAATGTGGAGAAAAAGATAACATGCAATCGTCGATTTCTCTAAAAGAGCGAGTACTGCAGCACGTTCTAAATTTTTCTCGTGTGTTCTGTGTCTATCCCCTCAAGACCCTTGGGCACGGCTGCAGTGTGATTCAGTGTGGGTGGACTTGGCACCTCCTTGGACCTGAGTGCCAACCACTTTTGCCGGCATGAGCCTGTGAATAGCCTCTCTGGTATGGGCATATTTTTTCGTCTTAAGCGGGAAGCAGAGTTCACAGATATTTTCTGCAGATCTGGAAGCTTTTGTAAAACCAGGAGGCAGAGTCAGCTCAACATGAATATACAAAGCAAATGATAAAAGCACCAATGGCAACATAACTCGTCGATCCTGTCTGATGCACGGGGTACAGTGAGCTCCTGATAGCAAAAGACCAAAGAAGCAGCAGATGTTAAAAACCAAACCAAACTCACTGCCATCGAGTCCATGCTGACTCATCGTGAGCCCCAGTGGGTTTCTGAGACGGTGACTGTTTTCGGGAGCGGAAAGCCCAGACGGCCGACCAAAACCCAACATGTAAGCAACTATGCTATCAGAGCTCCTGATGGTTTTTTAACTTCTGAGTGACTTCAGTCTCCTGGGGCCAATACCCAATGTATGTCAAAGGAGAGCCACGGACCACTCAGAAGTTTCCAAATATAAACAATGGAATAAACACTGCTGCCCTCGCAGGATAGCAGCAAAAATGGTGCAACCTGTGCTTTGCCCTAATGACCCTACCAGCCAAAACGCTGACAAAAACACCCAGGGGGAGGCCTTCCTTAAACTAGGACCTCACTGGAAATGGAACTGGAACTGAGATCCCGAAGTTCCATATGCTCTTTTTGATCAGAAGCTCAATTTTAAAATGTCATTTTCCTCCTTTAGTCATAATAGCATGGGAAC